TCACATAACAAGTTCGAGATGTGTTTTGAACGTCACTAGCAAATGTAAATATATGTTTAATGAGGGGTGCGTCCAGAGTTCGCGATGCGCGCCTTGTAGCGCTATGGTGCACGTACCAGCATGTCGTGCGCCACCGTTGCAGTGGCTCCAATGATATAGCTAAAAAGCCGCTTCAGGCGGGCAGCGGTCGGCATCGGCTACTACAGCGTCATGAGAGTATAGGAGGATAAGAGAGGAGCAAACTGGGTTCTCCCTCTCCTATTCTCCTAGGCTCTCCAAAATGCTAGTGCACACACTCTGGCATTCTCCTATACTCTCCCAAGACATTAGTAGCCGATGCCGACCGCTGCCCGCCTGAAGCGGCTTTTTAGCTATATCATTGGAGCCACTGCAACGGTAGCGCAGCGCGCATCGCGAACTCTGGACGCAGCCCTCATTAAACATATATTTACATTTGCTAGTGACGTTTAAAACACATCTCTAACTTGTTATGTGACGTCAATGAAACGCTACCCGGCTGCTCACAGGTAAGGTACAGTATTGGCTGTGCGAAGATTGCGTCAGAACAATAAGCGCATGAGAAAATTTGTAAAGATGAGAAACTTTGTGGATTAAGAGAACTAACCTTACGATGACCAAAATACTTCTCGCTAAATTCCTTCAGAGTGAAGTCCTCAGCAGTTTGCGAACTAAAAACTCTACAGCTAGCCCGTGTCATCGCTACACGAGCGACTGGTAATACTCGTGACAACATCCTGAAACTTATTTAAAAAGCCAAATAAGATAATTTGAATCAATGCCGCAACAAGGAAAGCTGACGGGATTCAATTTCAAGAAAATGTTCCAGCGAGAACGCTGAAATGACTTGAAGTCAATTAGAAAGATTGCTTCCATGTGGAGGCCTTGATTTCCCTGGGGAGACTCTCCTGAGATAATAGGTGGAACACACCACTGGTTCAAAAATACAAGAAATTCCTAATCAAGTAGTTTAACAGTAACAACATGGAAGAACAATATGAAAGGACCTACAGAAACAGATGGTCCTCTGAAAATCTCAACAAAACTGGGTTATATTACCTAGCTATATACATGTCTTACTTTGAATCGAACTCGAATAGAACACTGAGCAAATGCACTATACTAGTAGCTACAACTTCAGGAATCTGGCTCATCCGTACAACTCCAATTTCATCGCGTTCATACTTCGCGATCCAGCCGATTAGATCGCGAAGTATGAACACTGATTTGGAGACTGGCATTTCATTAACGACTAGAGATATGGTGACAAGGCATCTGTCAACCGAAATTCTGATTTCTGCTAGAATTCAGGGCCATTCTCACGCCGCTCAATTGACCGAGCCTCTGAAGGCAGGGAGCAAGGAAGCATTCATACTTAGCGACTTTTTTGCGCGATTTGAGAAACGAGCGATCGCACGTTTGGCACCGTTCGTGCCACGCCGCTAATGTTTAGATCACTGCGACTGCTGATTCAACCACTTTACAACAGAACTTTCCTCTACAGTATGCTACGGTCCAGGGGTAGGGGTGTGCAGCTGCACTATTCTCAAATCGCGCGACTGAATCGCTCGAATCGCGAAGTATGATCGCAGCCTATGGTAGTTTTATTAGGGATTAAGGAACGGAAGAGTAGTAAGGAAAAGAAAGAAGGCATAAGAGAAAGGATGGGGATAGTTGGTTCTGAAGATGTCATGAGACTAAGAAATGGAGAAAATTTTCTGAAATCTCTCGTAAGGTACAAAGAAAGCAACGAGGTGATAGAGAAAACAAATGGTAGCGTAAGGAAACTGCAAATGATTGACATGAACGACGCTGTATTTGGAATGAGGTTGTGGCCGTAAACTCTATAAGAATTCCAAATATTATAAACATTAAGCAACGATCAATATCAACTGTATGCCAGTAAGAAGGGTAGTGTATACAATATTAGATGCGTTCTAATTGTGGATGAATCGAAAGTAGACAGCGAAACGCTAATGGAACTTGCGGTAGCTCTGAGTTTCAATTACCGACGAGTGATCAGACTTGTTGTTCTGTTGGGCTGGTTTTGAACTTCTATACTTTGTGGGAGAAGAATCGGCGAAGTGGAGAAGATCAAAGATCACTTCGATCACGATAAGGACGATAATCATCCACTCCAGTGTCGAGGCCTGGAAGAAGGACTTATTTAAAGCGCAAAGCCGATCCACAATCAAAGAAAAGTTGTGTGGGGGAGAGGGGGAGGGGGGTGTTACGTTGGTTGCCTCACTTGTTATCACAGATCTGTTTCCGTAATTTGATTAGACTCAGACAAAGTACAAAAAATCTTTTAGAGGAAGTCATCGGGCGATTCCAAGCCGACTTTGGCGCCTTGATTGAGGGGAAATTGCATAAAAAAATAGGCTATTTTGTAGTTATGAAGGCAACGATAGTGACGGTGCAGAATCCGAAGTAGCGCCCGAAATTCACTGACTGGCAGGAATAAGTTTTCCTAGAACAAATAGGTAGTTGTTCAGAGAAGTCCGCAGAGATACCGGGAGCAGACTCGTGAACATCATGAAAGCCACAAATGTTACAATTCATGTCAAACGCCCCATCAATGCATCACGTTGAGACACTAAGCTTAGAGTTACAGGGTAAGCGTTCAACCCTTTTTGGGGGTATAAACCCTTATCATGAGCCAAAGCTAAAAGTATTAGAGAGAGATAGTAGAAACCACTATGTCGCGAGCAAGCATATTGTCGACCATTTTTCACCAACCTTCGCATATCAAAGCGATTTATTTAGACACACAGCAAAAAAAACGATCACCTCTAAAGTGTTCGAAAACAAGAGAACTGAGTTCAGAAATTTGAAAAATGACGACAAAGCCAAGACAGCAATTAGATACGAACAGAATGCAATGCTAAAAAGAACTACATACAAAAAAGGTCGTAAATCTGAAAAAGATTTGATGAACCAGGGCGATGTTCGGCTTAGGGGGTACCTTGAACTTTCAGTAGTTCCTCTTGCTAGATTACGTCATTCGTATATTCGTGTGTTTACAAGTCTCACCTTCATAAGACTTGTAAATTCTTGTAAAGTTGCAAAAAAATGGTGCAGTTGAGACACACATACAGATGAAAGGTTGTTCAGAAGTTGGCCAGTGCAAGCTTCGCAGTACCAGTTGTTGCCCCCATCGAGCCGAACTCGCCTGAAAGGATAGCTTGACAACTTCGTTCCCTACCTTATTCGCCGTCCAAGAGTGAAGTGCCGTGCGGACATTAGATAATACTGCTCCACTTGTGAGCGATCCCAGTAAAAGTCACGATTGAGCAAAGTGCAGTCCAAATTGATAGAATGTCTAGAATTCCAATTATATTGATAACAGCTTCTACTAGTGACGGAACAGAATGAATAAATGAAAAAAATGAAAAAAGAATAGAAAAGGAAGTGTGCTCACTCACCGAAGTGCAGCAAACTCTCCCGACTTCATGAGAGCTTCTTTTCGAGTCCACGGAATAATACCTAATTTCAGAGCCTGAACAACAGCATTGAAGTAAAAAAATTTAGCCCTCCTTCAAATCAAAGGCAAACACACCTTCGTGGTATTCGATAACGGCTCTGCGAGATCATTGAGCAACGTCTCCCAAACTCCTACTTTGACTGAAAGCAATGTATAAATTGAAATAAGTAATTAAGAAAGTGAAAACATGGCGTTTCTCGGAGACCAGGATGGGAGAGGGCTTTGGCTGGAATGATTTTGTGGCTTCACATGATTTCAGAGACCTGCACTTGATGGCTCGAAACGTCCAAGCGAAGTAGCAAGTGAGTAAAATGCCCCTCCTCCCCTCTCCATCCGTCGCCGAACTGCACCTATGAATTTAGAATGAGAACTATAGAAATAATCAACCTGATGCAGCAAAGGCTTGACTCAATGAGAACCGCTCTAGCACGTTCTCAAATTTGCGGTGATCAGTGCCATGCTTTTCAGCGCTCAACAGAAAACGATCGTGCTTGATGACGGTCTGATCACTGAAAAAAAATCGAATTTCCTTCAAACCGCTTATGGTTGTGAAAAAGCGAAAGGTACGAAAATAATGAAATAACCATTCAGTTTGCGGGAGGGGTTTCGCAAGCGCTACTGAACCCCTGCCGAAACACAGTTAGCGCTTACGAGGAGTTATGGTTCTTCTGTGCAAGATTAAGCCTCGCAGACTCTGATCGTACTCTAACAAGGGAATGGTTGAAACTTCCCATGGAACTTTGAATGGAGACCTAGGTACATCGATAGAGCCTCGAATGCTGATTACGAATATGCAGATTAAAAGTGCTACGGGGACCTCCCAGACGAGATCTGGGTGGTCAAAGTTTGAGTTCTGGCTCGTAAGCGCTGCTGATCGATGCCTCGGCAGTGCCACCGTGGCCTCGTGGTAATGGTCTCGCTTTCAAGTCAACGCATGCGGGTTTGCATCCGGTTGGCGCGAAAATTTTTGCTTCGCTCCGTATAAGAGCTTCAACTCTAATTTTCGAAATTCTTCCGAATTTACGGCCCAGCAGGGCAAGTAGATCAAGTACATCATATATGACGTGCTCGATCTGGTGTGGATTTGGTCATATCTGCCCTCTCTGAACATATTACCCTTCCGACAGTTCAAAGTTTCATGGGAGATTTCGACCCCCTGAACACGAATATCACATCCCCTCTACGAAAAAACAACACTCGTCTGCAAATTCCGATTCATTGAAACTTTGAATTGCTCGGCATGAGGTAATATGTTTCAAGAGGGCAGGTGATGAACAAATCCATATAGATCGAGGACGTTATACTGGTCACTGATCTACTTGCCCTGCTGGGCCGTAAATTCGGAAGAATTTCGAAAATTAGACTTGAAGCTCTTACACGGAGCGAAGCAAAAAGTTTTCGCGCCAACCGGATGCAAACCGCATGCGTTTGACTTGAAAGCGAGACCATTACCACGACGCCACGGTGGCGAGGCATCTATCGATCAGCAGCGCTTACGAGCCAGAACTCAAACTTTGACCACCCAGATCTCGTCTGGGAGGTCCCGTAGCACTTTTAATCTGCATATTCGTAATCAGCATTCGAGGCTCTATCGATGTACCTAGGTCTCCATTCAAAGTTCCATGGGAAGTTCAAACCATTCCCTTGTAAGTGAACCCTAGGTACGAGAAGAGAAACAGTCGCGGGAGTTCCTCCTCCACCAAACGCCCGGGATATGCGGTCAAAAAAACGTGCAAATTCGCATTGCTTAATTCTGTCTTGCTTGTCCTCTGCCTCCTGCGTAGCAGTGCGGTAATCAAACGCGGCTCTCAAAGAACGGCAAGGCTGTATCAGAGCACAGCATCTTCGCCAATTTTTTCCTCCCTTAACCAACTATCCTGGGCGCTGGTGTAGCGCCCAGATGACCAGTAATTGAGCTCTCAAATTTAATGAGACTCTGTTGGGACATGATAAATTATGGCACGGTATGATGCGATGATTGTCATACCCTTCAACCACAGAAAACGGCATTGTATCCTGTTCTTCCATCGTTACTGACGACTCATAAGGACCCTCCATGTAACGCTCCAAATCACGTATAGCATGAGCTCTCTGAAATTCACAGAAATAAATAGGAAGTAAGCCAGTACTGGGAAGAAACACGCTTACATGAGCACAGAGTTTGACCGTCACCAGCAAAGATCGAGTTCAGACTTCGCAATCGGATGGCTAAATGCGAAGTGTGAACGCGGTCTAAGATCGTGTTCATAGTCTGCGACTCGGGAAATAGAATCACATAATTGGAAAATGCGCACCAAGGAGAAGTATAACTATTGATCTGGTAATATGGTAATCTGATAGAAAAGGAGAATCTAAAAAGGTCGAGCTCCTAGCACTGGCGGCGATCGATTTCTATCTATTCCTAGGGTGCGCATTCTCCCGAAAACTTCAATGCTCCTTTGCTTCTGTCGCGAAGTATGAATACTGCCTAAGGCTCAGTTCATAACTTGCGACACTGACCAATCGGATAGGAAAATCGAGTTCCCAAAAAATATGACTTCAAAATCGCTATAGTTCCTTGTGAGAAGTGGAAGTGCACAGAGTACCTGTGCTTTATAAATAAAATTACCTCGGCATGACTAACATTCCAGAAAACCGCCACTCCATCTTGAAATACGAAAATCTCGTTGATTTGAGTTGGATTGATCGTATATTCCAACTTTTTCACTAGATGTATGGTATCTTCCGAATCTGTAAAGTGAAATATTTTCCCAGCCAGAAAAGAAGTTGAAATATTGAATAATAGCTATTTAATGGAGCTCCGAATTTTTGTGGAATACGGGAGATGGGTGACATAGCAGACGGTAGCTGATGTCTTCGGCTTTTGCCGTGGTCACTTATCAGACCTTAAGCCTCCTAACTTTGCGAAGTCGCTTGGTATACGGGAGTGAAGAGGAGTTTAATAGTTCACAATAAAGTTTCATGGCTGCCGGAGATCCACGTTACGGTGACGCGGAGAAATGAACACTACAACTGGCGGCACGGGTATGGCGTTCGCACTACGATCTAACGGACTTAAAGGAAGTGGGCACGATTACTGGAAGGAGGGCGTTCGGCGAAACTGCCCAACGCTTTGTGGGGATACGCCCAAGTCCCTTTCACCTGCGACGCTGGCAACACAACCAGCCTCCCCCAAATCGTGCCCACTGCCGTTAACGAGAAAATTTCATGTCCATCCACCGGCTGGGAAACATCAGCCATTGCCCTGTTCAGAGCGGATGGCGAGGTGTGTCAGAGGGGGTGAGTTTGTCGCGGCCAACCCTTTTTCACTAATCGTCGCCGCTTGCCCGCTTCTACAATTGGCGGAAGACGTGCGTGCCAAATCTAACCCCCCCCCCTGACACGTCCCCGCATCCGCAGCAGAAAACTGTAGTTCGTATGCCTTAAGAAAAGCGGACCTTCCGACTGTTTAATGGGAACCTTGCGCATACAGCAAAATCAAAAGAACATTAAAAAACCAGGACTGCCATATTACAGCATACTAATTACCAGCGATTTCTCTTTTAAAATAATTTATAGATAACCCACCATCGTCAATGTAGGAAGTCTCGTACATGTTGGTTATAGACGTATCCGTTGAAATGCCCTGTAGATCGAGCGATTCTGAGAGAGCTAAGGCAACTACCTCTTGCTCTCGCATCTGAAGAGCCCATAATATCAGCAGAGTTTCCAGTGATTTTTCAAAAAAAGCATAAACAACCACGCATAGTTTGCAACCACCTGAGATGTAAGTGGACGACGTTTTCTTTGTTGTTTTCTTGAATTTATGAGACCGCGTTCGAATTCTTGTTCTCTACGCGTTTTCTCGACAGAACGTAAAGAGCTGGAGCCGTGGAGTTGTCGTACTCGAACAGCGCTAAATTTTCACCTGGTAGTGAATTTAACATGACTGATAGAGATTATGGGCACTGCTCACTTTCAAAACCTAATTGTCAACAATTTGGGTTAATTCTTATCGGCACTAGCAGTAAATCTGGCCACTAATTTGGTCTAGGTTTTTTGGAGCTAGTGCCTTAGAATGTTATTTTCATGTTCGGGGAAAACTACCAGAAAACGAAATGTGCTCCTGGTAACATATCTGAATACAATCAAGCCTGAATTTCAAAGAGTGGGGTCGTTAAAAGTGAATGAGGCCAAACGATGCCCATGGTGATTTGCATACCTTACTGGACGTGTAACTGATGCAGGAAACCTTGAGCAGGATGGACGAGCAACATACTGCATTAATAGCGAACACGAACGTCGCAGGATTCCCATGCGTATCTAAATGAAGAGAATTTTCGTAAGCATATCTCACTCTGAAGAATTATGATTCCGAAAACGAAAAGTTTCAGCTTCTTTTCCGATAATGTTAAAATGAGTTCATACTTTCCTAGTCGCTCGAAATGCTGACAGACTTCATATGTTGACGCAAAGTATGAGCGCACTCTTATAGATTAAGAGTGCAACGAGAGGACCCCGAGCTCCCTTCAGTTTTAACACATTAGAAAGGTATAAGAATTTTCAAGGTGTCTAAGCATGACCATAGAATAGTTACAAAGTTTGCTCTTGCACAAGCTTTCACAATAAGCTAACGCCTGCAGAAAAAAGGGCATAGGTAATTCGCGTGAGCAACAATGTGTGCTGACTCCCATTTGGCAAGGAACATTCGATCTAGTTGATGAATAACGATTGAGGAAACACAACTAAAGGAACATGTAAAACGAATTGGAAAGCTAAAATTTGTAGAAGTGATGGAAGGAAGATTATTGTGAAATGACTTCACCCAGACCATGTACCATATCTGTGCATGGTTCCGGGTCAAAATAAAAGTTAACAGAACAAATCCAATAAACGAAAGGACAAAAACAAGAGAAAATCCTCCTCACAACGTAAAATTTTCTTTGAGTTAAGATTTGGCATTGGGGCGCGCAGTTCGCATCAGAGCAAGAAATCTAACGGTATTCCGACAGCTAGAGAAAGGACGGCTCAGTTCAGCCTGGTGTGGGCCCCAAATGGCACCTTTTTATATCCCACTACTATGAATTTAGTTTGGAAATCACCTGGATTGTGCTAGTTGAGCAGCCACCATCCACTGGCCACCAGTCGTCACCATCTACCAATTAAACATCCTACTCTGCCTTCTCCCACCCTCGATAATGCATTACTTTAACCAGTTCCCCACCAAGCGGCCACGTGGTTCACTTTTCTAACAAGCGCTACGCTTGCCCTGGCACATCACGGCAATGAGGAGGTCATTAAGTGCGATCTTCACTATAAAATACCGTTGTCACAACCCTATTTCATTTACCTCCAATCAGAAAGTCCTGCTTTTCTAAATTGTCGCTCACCATTTCACATTATTATTCACATTATTACGAACCTCCCAAGGAGCCAAACCCTGTTACAGTCTCGGAAAGCGGCTTCCTCAATGAACGCTCCTCGACAACGCCCTCAGTTCCTGATACGAGTGCGAAAGGGCACACGTCTCTGGGAGAATCCCATCAAGGTGATTTCTTCGTAGAGATTGAGTTCGTATTTGGTCGTTGGCGGTCAGACAGGAATTTTTGCGAGCATAAGAGGATTTTATCAGATGTTAGCTTTTCTTGGTTTTCCCATTTCAATTGTATTTACATAGGAATACGAGGGAATTTATGTATAGGAGCAGGTTCGTACAAAAGGAAAGGGGAGCAAAGTCCTCCGACGCCACATTTCTCCTCAAGGCACATCGTTGCTGGGGATTCGTTGTTGTTAGAAAGGGGGGTCGTGATTTCGCCTTCTGATCGTTTGCAGAAGATTGCTGACTATTCGCGGTTTTTCCTGTTTCATGTGTGGTTACTATATACCCCCTCGCTCGACAGCGAAATTTTTGGGTGAAAGTAGGAAAATTTTCTGGAAATTCCGGAAAAAGTGGGAGGAAACCTAAGAAATGGTTGGTAGAGAAGGGTCGTAAATTCTTAGCGATTTTTCCTCCCTGTCGACATCTCGGTGAGGGGTCCTAGCAAACCCCGTAAAGAGGGGCGAGGGGCCTTACGGACTCGACTGAAACGCCTAACCAATGATGTGCCCTGTTTCTTCCATCCGGATACTGTATCGTTGAAGGGAATATATTAGTGTGTCCCGAAATTTCGTGACAATTTCAAAGTTTTCTGAGTCAAATTTATTTGTTTTCAACAATCAGTATCAATCAGCAACATATGCACCATGTTTATCGATGACTTGCTGCCAACGAATGTGCAAAGAGTGGGTGCATCGTTCCCAGTTTTCTTCTTTTGAGCTGAACAAGGACTCTTTGAGGTCCTTGTGAGAACCACAACTCAAGATGGCTGCTGTGGGACTAGAAGAGATTGCAGTTAGGGCTGTGCGGTGGGTGCAGTAGAAGTTCCCAGCCAAGCTTCAAGATCTCAAGCTGTGTCATCTGCGAAGTGTACGCCCTTGCGTTGTAGTGAGCAGTGCTCACTGGTCACCGTAGCATCGGGAGGAAGGAGTTCTCAGTGGTAACTCCGTACCCCCCACCACTCTACGGAACATGACCTTCTTAGTGGATTGGTTGGATCTCACACCGGATCTCTTTCTTATGGACTTAGCCACTGGTAGTTCTGAGCAGGGTACAGCATCGTTGTGCGAAACCCATAGGGGGGTCGTACTTGGCCGCTGGGGAGGGGGGGTCGTAATCTCAAGGGTCACTCAGAGCCGGGCAATGCTTTGACATTTCAGTTGATAGTGGGAGTGGAGCTATGGAAGGTGAGATGTCAAAAAAAATGAAAATTATTATTAGTGTATGCTTTACAGATTGAAC